CGAAGGTGAAGAAGTAAATCTATGCTTAATGGTTGAGTTGTGAATCCTCTTCATCCCATGTAAGTTCAACCCCCACAGAGAATGAAATGAATTACAACACATTACTAACTGCTTTCAATGAAATGCATGATGAATCAACAACATCTCCTTTCTCATCTTGTCATTATTGTATGAAAAAAGGGCATACTGTAAAATTCTGTCATATTAGAAAACACTTTGTGCCACAGGGTAAAATGAGATGGGTTCCAAAATATGTTAAACAGAAGATTTGACCAATAAGGACCCAAAGTATTTAAGGGTACCAAATACTTGATGCTTGATTTTTCAAGAACAGCAGCAAGAATCACTTTGGTACTTGGACAGCAGATGCTCAAGGCATATGACAAGTGATATTTCCAAATTTCAGAAACTGAGATTGAAGATTGGAGGTCACGTGACATATGGAGATAACAACAAGGGAAGAATCCTAGGTTCTGGAGATATAGGAGATGGTGAAACCGTGACCATTCACAATGTTCTTCTTGTTGAAGGTCTTAAGCACAATTTAATCAGTATAAGCCAATTATGTGATCTTGGTCACAAGGTTATCTTCAAACCAGAAATCTGCCTAATCTGTGAGCCAAAATCTGACACGGTAATGTTGGTTGGTAAGAGATTAAACAACATTTACATGCTAGATATTAAGCATTCTATCTCATCTCAAAGTTGTCTTCTTACTAAAGAAGAAGAATCTTGGTTATGGCATAGAAGGCTTGCACATATTCATCTTAATCATCTTGACAAACTAATTACTAAAGATTTAGTTTCTGGACTACCTAAGCTTCAAATTCTGAAAGAAAAAAATTTGTGAAGCTTGTTTAAAAGGTAAACAAACTAGAAAATCCTTTTCAAATAAAAACATTGTTTCTACTTGTAGACCTTTGGAACTACTCCACATAGATTTGGTTGGTTCTTCAAGAAATAAAAGCCTAGGTGGTAATCTTTATATCATGGTAATTGTTGATGATTTTTCCAGATTTACATGGACTATTTTTCTAAAAGCCAAATCAGATTCTTTCAAATCTTTTAAAAAGCTTGCCAAGGTTTTACATAATGAGAAAGGTTATTTCATTACTTCTATTC